CTGGTCCTGGATGTACGTGATTTGACTGCGTATTATGACCACGGGTCGGTGGGCGACGCCGATATTTACATCTCGAACGATGCGCCCTGTGACCTCGGAGGCGCCTGTTAGTGTAAGGCAATGCATGTCACAGCTAACGCCTCGTTTAGTTAATTTCATTTGTTGTTTGCCCCGCCGCGAGGCTGTAGACATCTGGTGATGAAGCCACCGCGGCAGCTGTTTCTTTCGGATTAGTCACATAGATAACAGTGGTCTCGTCAATTACTGCCTCCTGAGTGCCGCTGTGTACGTGTGCGTAATTTTCCCTCATGCATATTTTCTTAGGCGTTGGTGGGTGATTGTTATGTTTTTAGTCTTTCCGTATACGGTTTTACCCGTTTTGTCATTTAATTACTTGAAAGCGAGGACGTGAATCGATCGACCCTTCAACTTTTAGATAGTGCACTGGACTTCGGTTGTGACATAACAGGATGCACAACCGTTGCCGCCGGTGAATGCCACCCACAAAGTACTTTAACAAGTTTCTGATGGGATCTCTAATACCTTTGAGGGGTTTCTTTTCCCTTTATTTCTTCGACAAGAGCTGACATCTCCATCCTAAGGCCTCAGACTACTTATTATTCGTCTGCACTTCCAGGTCGCAATACTTTGACGACCACTCTGGGATGCAGACTGATGACTCGGTCTTGACGGCAGTAAGGACAGTCTGGGGGTTTTAGTGCCAGCCGGTCCTAGTTGATTTATTAATAACTGCGGTTTTCTGGGCGTTGTAGTTTCCAGTACTAAACACTAAACCTAACTGCAAAATACAGTGACTCCCGTTTGAGATATCTGCAGTGGAGGCACCGTTGTGGAAGCCTTTGGCCTTGGCCGGGCAATTTCTTCAATGTTCTGCGGATTTCTTCACAACAGGGTTACTGTAAGCAGTTTCAATCTTTATATACGATTTAATTTAAAGGGCATTAATGTCATCTGGAGCTTTTTGAGAATACAATCTTTATCGTGCGTAGTCACTTGTAGTTTTCGTCATCCTTGTTTGCCGCTAAAAATCTCCCAAAAGTGGCTTGCTTTGGTGAACATGTGGTAGTCATTCACATGAATAGGTTCTTGGGGCCTGAACCTAACTCCAATCCTGCGAAATACCGTCGACTGGTGTCTGCACAGGTCTTTTATACTTCCGCGCGGTAATCATCCATTTAGCTGCTATTGCCGATAGAAGCGAACAGGCAAGTTCCAGGAGACAGTTCAGAAGAATAAGAAGCGAATACTAGAACAAGGATTTGCTGACCTGACGTTTCGGCTTCCCACCCTAACCCATCATCTGAAAAATTCGCAAATAAGGGTAGTGGAAGCACAAAGACTGCGGCAATTGCAGTGCGTAGCTGTCGTGAGACCACATGATTACCATAATTAACAGCTCTCGCGGTCGCCGCTGGGAGGTCGTAATTGGTGCGGTGATTGCTCGTCGGCCCGCGTCCGCGTCGTCAATGGCCGCGCTTTCATCATCCGTGGCGGATGTTGGCGTGATGAGTACTCGGCAATTCGGCTCGCTGTCACTGGAATTACTGCTCGCCCGCGCCTTTCCCATGTGACTGATTCCCTGTCCAGGGAATGCCTCAGCACTGAATATGGTACTGGGAAATCATTGCGCTTCTTGATGGATTGCGGGCCCGAGAACCATGACTCGAACAGCTCGGGACTCGGTTATCACCTGCAACCTGAAACTTGAAAATATGGCCGGTCCCGTGGGATGAGCGCCATTTGAGGGCTAGCATCTTTCCTTCCCATTGCTGCTGCGTGCTCGGCCATTCGCGTCCAGAGTGTTCCCCCAGTTTTCCTGACGTTGTTGCTCTGTCCGCAACTCTACCGGATCCAATAAACGACTCCTGACGTTTCTTGCCGTGGCAATGAGTCTTTCGGCCTCACGACCTAGCGCCTGATGGTTGCCTTCGGCCTGTGTGCAACCCCAACTCGAAGTGGAGTTGGAAGGCGATTGACGGCTTCCGAGGCGTTCTTCACGTACGGAAGAGCTCGCCATTTAGTCATTTACGATTCTCAGCGGTAATCGCGAGAGTTGCCTATTATAGTGCGCATGCAATTCCATGGCAGCTACGTACCATAAATACTGCATTCTTTGTGCCTCTACTATCCTTATCTGTGACTGTCAATGATGATGGGTTCAAATGAGCATCCGAAACGTCAGGTTAATAAAATTCTTGTTTCAGTGATCGCATCTATGTTGGCTGGCCGGACTGGAGCGCGTTTATATATTAAAATGGATGTTACTTGCTTTCCATAAGTAGACGTTCTGTTTAACACGAGTTTCGCACTCTTGTAGTTCAATTCCTACCGCGAGGCGCGCTCCGTCATCCAACAGATAGCTATTTCTCTGGCCGCCGCGGAGTCCGCCCTTCAATTTGAACACCGCGACCTGCACTGGCTCAACGTCCTTGTGAAACCTACCAAACAGGAGAAACTCCGTTATCGTGTGGGCGGTGTTAGCTATGCCGTCCAAACTGAAGGAATCCACGTGTGCATAATTGATTTTACCGTCTCCCGTCTCTGTCATGGTGAGTTTATGTTTGCAAAACGTCTCCTGTCTATTTCAAAATTCGGACCTTAACTCTCAGCTAAGTTTCGAACTTCTCATCGCCAATGCCCTGTGGACAAATTTAACCGTCCTCCGTTTTAAGGCTTGCTAAGGCTTCGTCGTGATTGGATAGCAACATCGGTCATCAAGGACACGGGGAGTATGAATACCTCGGACCTTTCCACCACTCATGCTGGCCATGCACAGACGATTTGACTTCTCCTCTGAACTTTAGCCATAGATTACTTAATTTCCATGATCTCACGGTCTGAGTGCGCATTTTGCGGCTGCTGACACTGCTAGCTAGTTACGAGCTAAATCTTTCACTTTTCATAGTCCTTCAGTGAGTGTCAACTCTGCTTTTACCGCCTTCTTTTATGGAGTTTCGGGACAGTTTGCCCTTAGATAGTCTCCCTGGCAGCCCACTCAGCTAGTTCAACATGTCCTATGGAAGTAAAACTCAAGGCGTTTTGAAGATTTCTTGTCGATTGGATCTTTCCCGTAGGATCTCTCATTGTATTGCCGTGGATTATCTTGAAGCATGTTGTTACTCTTTCTCCTAAGAAGAATTCCGATGTTGGGGATAAATCACTAGCTCGTCTGTTTCTTTTTTCCGCTCAGAGGGCAATATTGTCTACGTAGACATGTCAAAGTCGCCCGAGGTATTCGAGTGTGAAGGCGACTACCAGTTCGACATCTACCGCATGATGAGGGACATGAACGGGTTAGTATCTTGTTTTTGCTTACTTTATTTGCCTAGAGCTTGTCAGCTCAACATTCCTTTGGACGGGAAACAGGGCTGTCTTTAAGATTAGTGTCATAGAATCTAACGACTTTTTTCTGACACTAACAGGCTAACACTTTACCTACCTTCCCAAAAATGCATAATTTTCATTTTATTTAAGGCCACATAATCCGCATAATTGCGGAAATCCATCCCATCCCAGCTGCTCGTTTTCGAAAATTCCCACAGAAAGAGGGTTCTCAGCTACCTCTTGAGCTTTCTGGTTTCTCTTTAGATATCATGTCAACCTGTTATAATGCAAGGAACACTTGGCATTGTTCGTAATGTCAACGGTTAGAACACATGTCACAACATAATACAGGATACAGGTGAATTGGGTCAGTAGAGTGTCCGCTCTGTCCCTGGTCCAATTCTATTTCGACAGTCCCATTTCTCATGTTGTCATGACAAATGGTATTAAATCTTTTTGATGTCCGCTTCTCGCCGTTATTGTTCTTGTTCTAGGGAAGAGTGTCTCCTTTCGATGTCATTGGTAATCGACAAGTCCATCCCTAGAGCTCAAACCGTAGGCCTCTAATTGCCCAAGAACCCAGTTAAGCTTTAGCTATTTGAATAGTATTTAGGGGGAGGGGGTGATTCTTTGTAGTTTCTGGATCTGGTGACGGACATCTATGTTTGTTTCTCCGGCACCTCAGCCCAGGGTTCCAGGACTGTACCGGACCAGTGAACAACATTCGCCACACTGTCACAACGACCTTATGGCTCTTAACCTTCTTTTTAGGTAACTGACATTTCCAAACCGGTGTGCGTCCGCATCCGGAGGTACTATCGTCGCATAGTTCAAGACCACTTTTTAATCGAATTCTAAACCTCTTTCAGTTTTCCGCTAGCTGCAGATGCTGAGAGTGACCTGTAGCTAGATTAGGGCGCAGACACCGTCGTTCGGGTATCTGGGCTCTATCAGTAGCCCAATTCTCTCGCCCTAACGATTTTTAGCTATATTAATGTAATGTGTGTGTGTTTTTGAACCAATTCCCGACATCTTTCAGAACCGCTGTAACATCCGTCCTTGCAAATATTTAGACTTTAAGAAAATAGTTATCCAACTGTCCAAGCTTCGTTTGGTTTTTTGTCTCCCAAAGCTGCTCACTGACTTGCTTATGCATAATTTGTTTGCTGCTCTTCAGAGTTTGCTTAATTTTTTTCAACGCGCTGAGACGTCCTGTCTTTGGTGCCATGTCCTGAAGTGCACAATGGATGAAGTCGACGTCTCTGAAATTCACTGAAACCCACATTTTCTTTTAGACCGATTTTCGCTTCCTTTTAAGCAGGGAGCTGCTTTTTGGCTTTCTCCGAAGGGTTCATTTCATTTCAACTCCCGTCCTCCATAAAATGGCCTCACAAAGTGGGGTTTGCATTTGAAGAGAAAATACCGTATAGTCGGTGACTAACAAAAGCCGGGCCTCTGTACGATTGCCGAAAGACGCGGACACTTTGTAGTCACCAGTTCAAAGCCACCTTTTTTCTTGGCCAGACGGTCAGGTTTGATCGTCGATCCCGAAAACATTCACCGTGTGTCCCCCAGCGGGGCCGGCGCAAGGGCGATGCCTTGAGCGGGAATTAGTTTATAGTGGTGGCGGACTTGAGCAGCCTCCATTGCATTCTCAGCCCCTCCACATGGGCCCGATGTCAAGACAGTCAGAAAACCGGGGGTAGGATCGGACTCAGGTGCCTGGCGCGCGCCGCGAACCCGCACATAGGCGTGCCACCACAGCAGGGTGGACGCAAGGACGATGCCCTGAGCGGGAATTACTTTATGGTAATAGTCGGCTTACGCTGCGTCTTCCTCAGTCTCCTCTCACTCACCCAACTGCGCCTGGTGTCAGTTCCGAGTGAAGAAGACTGAAGGAGGGATCTGGCGCCGGTGGCTGGTGCGCGATGAGACTGTGCGTAGGCGTGCCGCCACCTCAATTTATGACATTTTTATTAGTACACCACCCACCAACGCGCGTTGGACCCTGATCTAGCCCCCGTGTTGGTCCAGCGCATTTACTGTGTGGCTTTTTTAGGCGGCAAAGGTGGGACCATTTGTATGCTGTAGGACCATGCAAGTTTCTCTGATCAACCTCGGTGCGGGCTATTATCCTCCAAGGCCATAGCTGTTCGCCTTTTTTTTCCTCTTTTGTCCACATTCCTGCAATTTTATAACCTGTATGCGTATGTGCATCTCTGCCGCCCCTAGAAATAACTGGCGCCCCTTTCGTCCCATCACCAACCTCTACTGGCTGAACTACCTGATGGACAAGCTCCTGAACCAGACCTCATACCCGCGTCGGGACCCAGATTCCTCGGCCATCGAGTCCGAACTTGCGGCCTTGCGCGACACCGTGCTCTCCGGCAGCTACAGATCCGCCACGCAACTCGTTAACCTCAGTTTCTACTTCGATAGTTGTCGCATAGATTAGGGGACTCCTTCCACCCCATCCCCCTGGTTGCCCTCTTCTGGTTATCTTTAGCATTTAAATCGGGATGCGTTTCGCAAACGAGCCCTCCCGCCTCGTCGCTTCCACCCCCCCCCGTACCGGTGTGATGCTAGAGTTCTTCCTGTTTCTCTCTCCCTCCCCCTCTCCCCTGAGTCGCCTTCCTCCCCCGTCCCGTCCCTTCCAGACTACGCACCGATGCCCGCAATTGCTCATATAGTAAAAACATACGATACAGTTCCAGTACAATGCGCTCATGCGTGCCCTTTTTTATGTACTCTGGGACGCAGAACCTGACTTTTCTTCAGCTTCTGTCCCACATTATGCTCTGGTGGTTTACCTTGCTGTGCATGTTGACTCACTATACATACATGCGCTCACATGTTGACGTGATCGCTGTCTACTCTCCCCGCTACGGTGGAGGGCAATTTTAGGAACAGCAGGAGAACAAGAGATTTCACATTCCGTTTCAGCCTTCCCTCCTGATCCTTTTTCTACTGGGTTCTCCCTCATCCTGCGCGTTGCGCTGCATCCATCGTGGCAGTTGAGTGCGCAGGGTGTGTGGAATTCACATCCGAATTACAGAGCTCTCTGTTTAGTCATCAAGGTTTTTTTCGATTTGTACACCTTACCTAGGCCAACGTTTTCATGCCATGACTTTTGTTATTCACAGTGTTCTCCTTGACTAACCCTGGCAGGTCTGCGGATTACGTTTAGCCCCCATAAGGGAGAGGGAATTACATGAGATTGTAGGCCAATCAGAGCGTCCAGACCGACGTGACCTGAGCCATCTCTAGGAGACGGCTTTACCATCACACCGTTCGTCAGTTGTGTGTGTTTAGCAACTGCATTCGATTAGTAGAGGGAGCTCGAAACGGACGATAGCACACAGGGGATAGTAGTCAAAACATTCAGAGGCATCGAGATTGCCTATTGACGAAGGGGATTTAATTGAATTACATGGTATGCTCCTGGTGAGGCCACTCGTCATTTAGCATCTGGCGTTATTCAGAGGTTATGGAAGGTGAGGACCGTGGGTGGTAGACCATGGATTCCAACTGATTATGTCAGTGTTTAGAGTGTGCAAAAGTGTGGAGCAGTTCGGATGGCCCGCGGTACCTTGTCCTGGAATAGGACACTCACTAGAGCGTTGTTTCCAGAAGGCTCTCTTGTCCTTATTTTACCTCGTTGCAGTTAGCTCCTCCGATATTATCGCTCCTCCCTTTACCTGCCGCTAAGCAAGGTTCTGACATCTGGCTGGGCGCGAGGACTTGATGTTAACACCTGCCCTCCCACCGGTCCTCTTTTCTAACGCCATGGTACCCCAATGTTTCAGGGTTATCAATCCTTTGTGGTAAGTGCCAAGAAGCACACGGCTGGCGTATCAGAGACTTGTGGGACGTTTGCGGCAGAGCAATGTGTGAGTAAACGTCTGTACCGTGTGGGTTGCGGCCACGCATATATCGTCCTATTTTTTGCGCATTGGAAGCAAGCTTAGACGCCAAAAGTGCGCTTGAGTCTGCCCACGCCAAAGTCAAATCCCCTAGCTCCCCCCAAGAAGCTGATGTGGCCTGTTCTGTGGATCTTCTAGCTCCTTACCTGCGCGCCCGTGTTTCATTCTACAGGATTCCATGCACCCATCCATTGCTGAGTGCTTGCTCCTTGGTAATCGAAACGCTCTTCCTTTGAGCCACGAGTTGGCATCCTGTCGACTGCGGTCGCGAATGTTCAAAGTCGCAGGGGATGACACTCATGGATCTGCCAGCCATACGGCGACATAGCCTGTGCCATGCCCCAGCTCCAATGCGTCTGACTTGGCCAGAGAGCCCAAGTTCGAGCTGCGGATCCTTTCAGGTCTCAGACGATGGCAAATAAAGCAAGAATTCACTTAACTCCGTTGGTAGAGATTCGGCGGGATTCGAACCCACAACAAAGGCAAGACTTAAGCAAAGCCAACACCCTAAACTGCGTGACTCCGACCGCAGCTGTGAGCCAACTTACCCGCCCAGCCCATTCTAACGTGTGAAGTCCATCAATTACGATACAGTCAACCGACTGCTCGAGCAGGCTTTCCAGTTAATCAATCTAAAATCCATTAGATGATTGACGGGCTCGCATACAACACAATGGCCGTTAGTCTTCCCTCTATCAGTGGCATAATAATAAGACGGTAGTATATGGTCACCCGACATCTTGGCAAATGGGTCATTGCAGTTATCAAAGTACAATTAAATAACTGGGAGGTACGGTAGGGAAAACTTATTTCAAGGAGAGCATGTCTGCGGAAGGAGAGGGTCTAGGGAGGAGTCTGTTTTGTCGTCAGATATTCCTTTACAAGTTACGGGAACTGGACTCCCTTGGTTGGCTTATTGAGCTCTGGAGTTCACCCCTGCACGGGCTCTTGTACTAGTCCGCCTAGCCGGCAATATTTGAATACACTAAATGGACTCGCACTTCATTGGGGTCCAGTGGTTCGCTCCAGCAGGATCTCCTGAACTCTTGCGAAGGCGTTCGGAATAATACGTCGTCTAGTTTGCAGAAGGCGTGGTCTCACAGATGACCACGATGTACCTGAAGTAATTCTGACACTCATTTGTGAGTCACTGGGAGGTACACCAACTGGTTCCCCTGCAGCTGGGTTTGTTACTGACAGCAGACTCCATAGACGCCGGGTACACATGCTTGGGACAGAAAAAGCAACTTCGGGACGCGATACGTCGACAAGAACTCTGCCATGATTGCGTAATGCTAGTCCTCAGCATATCCTCCGTTAAGGAGGAGACGGGAAACCGTTCGTGTTTTTAGACCGTCCTACCAGTTCCCTGCTGAGGAATGCATATCAAGTAAGGGGGAGGGCTGGTCGATCCCCGGAGCCCCTTGCCTGCTTGTCCGAACTCTAGAACTCGTGTAACAGTCCAAATCAACCAGTGGTTAAATGGCACACGGTTAAGAACCATAGCTGCAGTTACATTGATGACTAAGCAGGTTGGAGGGTCCGCGTGCCGGTCGACTGCATTCCCAACGGGGTTCCGAGCTTCAGTGGACTCGCAGTTTGATTTTGTTTAAGACTGCCTCCTTGGCGAAATATTTAAATATGGCGAGGTTTGGTTCTGCTGCTCCACTTTACTGATACCATACGGAGAGCTTCCTGAAACAATTTGGTTAACATACCAATCTTAACCACTCGCTGAATTAGGAAAGGAGGGAGAGAGGGCAAGTAGAGCTCAAAACAATGCAAAGGGGCGCGTGTGAACCGAAGCTTGGTGTAACTGAAGGTGGTGTGTACACACTCTCCCCGCGACACAGCCACTCGCAGGATTAAGAGGACAAGGAGAGTGCAATCACAACTGGGGGGGGGGGGGTCACGTAGGGAGCCGCATGTCAATTCGTAGTGCATTACCGCTATATTGGAACCGACGGAGGTCCAATCCGTCCGAACAGTGCCATTGGCAAGCCTACTTAGTCACTCGCTGGATTAAGGTAATAAAGAGGGCGCAAGCGGGGCTCGAAGCACGCGCAGGGAAGCGTGTGTGAACTGATACCTGATTTAACCCAGATTGGCGTATAAGCACGTCCGTCCCTGAAGCACTCGATGAATGAAAATAGTAAGGAAGGCGCAAGTACGTGATACATGTAAAGTCAACATAATCACACCTGCTAAGATTGCTTTAGGAAGCTAACCATCTGATATCAATCAACTGGGGCTGCAGGACCAAGCCTTGCCTTAAATAGTGACCCACCCGCGTCTGCATGAACCTAACCTTCCTCTGTTCTCATCTGTTCAACTGTTAGAACCATTGCGGCAATGGAGACGATACACGACAGATTCCTCGCTAGTGCTTAACCGACCTTTGCTCTTTACGGCGCAAGTCAGTGCGTATACGGAGATGCAGTGCAGTACACTGTCCGAGATGGAGGTCGATTTTTAAAGAAAATATGGATTTTTTACACTTTTCCGAAATGAGTGGATGGTCTTAAAGGGGCAGAGGTGTGCATGAAAATGAACTGACTTCACATTGAAGCATTCCGTACTTGAAGAGGGTCTAGGTAACCGTGGTAACGATCATCCTGACATTCCGAATGAATTTCGTCCCCCCTCCCTTAGGTCCAAATCAACACTACATAGCCAAAAACAGGAAGAGCAAAGTGACTTGTAAGTCTCTCGGAAGTTATGATCAGCCGACGTAAAAATGTGAAAAGAACTCAGTTCAGCCCACATTTCATCAAATTAACACAAGCACGCAATGATGCTGCCTATGCACATCACCAGCATCAACGCTCAAGCTTAAACAGAAGGGGGTCAGCTGATTTAGTTAACGAGCTGGCGTTCTGTATATCAGTTTCTGAAATTCCAATTAGCTGGCTATTTTAGAGGTCATGCCCTACATAGGCCTCCCTCGTTTAATGCCTTCCCTTTCCCCAGGTAGATGACTCTTAAACGTTTCAACTTAAGTGGTTTAAAAACACGATTAGGACTCAGTCCGACCAGTTAGCTGACTTCGTATTCGATTTTGAGTTCAACTTTCGGGTGGCCGACCAAGATTTTTTACTGGCCCCGCAATTATACCGTTAGCAGCAAAGAAACCCATGTACGCCGGAGCGGATGCCAAATCTACTATGCTTACCAAGTGGTTCCATCCCAAACAGGGGACGCCTTAAGCATTTCATGATGTTTGCCTTCTGAAAGCCTGTTATTTATGTCTGAACTTATTTCACCATGTTGAAAATCAAAGGGCAAAGAGCAGTTTAGCGGAATTTTAATTAACTCCCCAATCCTTTGCCTGGTGGATGAAGTGCCCCTGCCCTCCGCCAACATGAGGATGTCTTTCGATGCTGTTACATTGGCCTCTCCCACACGCGCGAAGCTGTGTGCAGTCATATACAGACTTGGGGCGCTCATCGTTGATTGCTTGAGATGTCCCACAACCACCCCCTTGTTCTGAAGCAGCTGCAAGCCCTGACGACAGATTCTTATGCTAGCCCGG